AGTCTGGTTTTCAGGACCAGCAGAGCTGCTGGCAGCCAGAGGCTAGAAGCCAGGGGTGCTGCTAAACACCCTACAGTGTACATGTCAGGCCCCAGAACATAGAACTCTTAATCCCAATTGTCGACAGAAGTTGAGAGACCCCAGCAAGGGGGTGACAGGACAGAGAAGAAGGGGGCCATGGAGGAAGGGGCAGGAGGAAGCAGCACTGGGCCTGGAGGAAACAGACCTGAGTTCACTGGCCAGCTGGGTCACCTCGAAGAGTCACTTAACTCCCTAAGCCTCAGTTTCCTCCTTTATAAAAAGGCCACAAGGATTAGAGAGGCTGATAAATGTAAAAGAAGCTACCACTGTGCCTTGGCATGCCAATAAATGCAGGGTGTGTGTGGGGGGGTGGTAGTAGGGGTGGGTAAGGACGTGGGAATGTTTTTTCCAAAAGGGTTTGGTTTTAAGGACTTGACACTGGGCCTGGAAGAGCAAGAACAGCATAGTTGGGTGCTGTCTGCAGGAGGGAGTGGCACTGAAGGTAAAGAGGGCTGGTTTTCACCTCGCTGCCCCCCCCCCTTTGGCTGAGTGATAACAGAAGTCCAGATTTCCCCCAGCAGATTCCAGGAACAAAGCATTCCATCGGGTGGGCATCCAGCTAGTGGCTGGCGCTGGAAAGTCACTTCCTGCAGGTCAGAGACTCAGCAGCTGCCTCTCAAGCCAGGCAAGCTCCCAGCTTGGGCATTCATTCCACAAATACACACATTCTACCCCCCCCCCCAAAAGCCAGCTGCCCCTCTGGGAGCCCCTGAGGTGGAATTCTGCCTTTTCACTGGAGTCCTGGCTGTGATCATAAAGGGCAGCTTTTAACCCTTTTTGACTAAAAGAATGGCAAGTGAAGAAAGGAACCGAATGACGGTGGGTGGCAAAACGCAGTTGTCATTTTAAGAAGTGAAGCTGGAACACTCGGCCATGCTTCTGGCTTCTAGGGGCTGGGCCCTCCAACATCAAGCAAACTAACAAGGAAGAGATCTTTCCCCAAAGTGTTCGCTCCCCCCCCTGGTCACCAAGTCTCCAGCTTTAGAGGCACATAGGCTCATAGGGCCTTTTGGGGAGGCTAACCAAGATGGCAGTCATTCACCAATTAATTTCTCTTGTTTCCTTTTGAAGGAAAGAAAAGATGCTTCCATTTGGTGGAGCAACTGACTTGAGAGGAGAGAGCATAAATCTGGACTGAGAGAGCCTGGAGTTTGAATCCCGACAACTTTGAGCAAGTTAGTTAAATGTCTCTGAGTCTCAGTTTCCTCTTCCATAAAATGGGGATCATAAAGTTGGACATCAGAGGGTTTTGGAAAGATGAAATTAAACTTTCCATGTAAACTGCTTATCCCGGGGCTGGGCCACAGCAAAAACTTCCTGATATTAACATAACCATCCTCTCCTGAGTACTTCGCAGGAACGCCAAGCAAGTTTCCAAGCCCTTTCCAGTCCCTGGATGCTCTCTGCACTGTTATTATCACTTACATGCAGAGAGGTGAAGTCAGTAGGTTACACAGGTACTGAGGGGCGGGGCCTGACTTCACGCCCATCCCAGCGTCTCTGCTCTTAATCACTCCATTACACGCCCTCCTATACACGATATAGCTATTATGAGAAATTCCAAAACCCTGAGGTCAAAAAAAGGGAATTTAAAAATCTGGTTCCTCCCCTCTATGTCTTCTCAATTAGCAACATGCAGGGAGTTTATGGATCGCAGGCAGTGGCCTCTCCTGCTTACTGCTTCTTCCGTGTTCAGGTCAGGTAGGAAGCAGGGCGCCTCTGTATTGTATTGTTCCCAATAATAAGTCATGGCATGTTTCAGCTTCTTTTTACACTTGACAATCTACCTTTGCAAACATTCTTACTTATTACAGTAACTCTTACTAGTTATGGGAGTGTCCATTTACCACCTTACTGGTGGTAAGGTCACC